TTGAACCGCCAGCTGTCTGGTTAGCAGGCAAGTGTCTTAGCCACTATGCTACCAGAGCTCCTCAAAAAGCAGTAGGAGTGGCAATATTAATTTCTGATAAAACAGACTTCATGGTACAAACCAGGATAAGGGACAAGGTAAGGTATCGTATAACGATTAAAGGGTCAAATCAGCAAGAGGTCATAACCATAATAAATATCTACTCACCCTCCAATGAAAGAGCTCAAAAATACACAAATCAAACATTAACAGAGTTGAAGAGAAACAGACAACTCCACAATAATAGGAGACTTCAACATACCACTTTCAATGAAACACAGAACAACTTGAAAGAAACCCAACAAGCATACAGAAGATCTATACAATACAATCAACAAACTTGACCTCACAGACATGTGGAGAACATGTCACACAACAAAAATGCAATAAACATTCTTTTCTTGTGCAGATGGACCATTTTCCAGAATAGACCATATGTTAGACCACAAAGCAAACCTCAATAAATATAAAAACACTGACATATACTGGCATATTCTTGGATCAAAATGATATAAAATCAGAAATCAGTAACAGGAAGATCAGGGGGAAAAAATCAAATCATGGAAACTGACTAATCACACCCTACTAAAAATCTACTGGGTGATAGAAGAAACATAACATGAAAGAAAAAAAATTCTAGACTCAAATGGTAATGAAAATACAACATACCAAAACCTTTGGGACAAAGGTCAAAGGTAAAAGCAGCGCTCAAAGGTTAATTATAGCAATAAATGCACATACTGAAAAAGAAGAAGAAAAATCAACATCTTACCTTAATAACTCCAACAATTAGAAAAACAGCAGCAAAAAAGGTCTACAGTTCCCAGAAGGGAAATAATAAAAATTTGAACAGAAATAAATAAAACGTAAAGAATAAACAAGACCAGAAGTGCATTCTTTGAAAAGAGTAACAAAATTGACAAACCACTGGCAAATTTAACAAAGGAAAAAAAACCAGAAGATCTAAATAACAGGAAGAAGAGATGGAATGGGTAACATCACAACAGAACCAAATGAAATAAAAAGGATCATAACAAAATACTATGAGAAATGGCATTCCAACAAATTTAAAAACCTAA